CTGACATCGCTGCAGGGTCAAGTCCATTCCAAGTGCCTCATCCACTCTGCTCATCAGGCTACTCCGTAACAGGCAACCTGTGCTTCTTTGGGTGTAGAACTCCCTGCTTCCACTCTCAGGGGTGCTCTGCATTCAGCAGCAAGGGAAGCCCTCTCCTCACTTTGGCCTTCGACAAGGGACATGACACCTATCCAAGGGACATGACACCTATACAAGGGACATGACACCTATACAAGGGACATGACACCTGGACAAGGGACATGACACCAATACAAGGGACATGACACCTATACAAGGGACATGGCACCTATACAAGGGACATGACACCTATACAAGGGACATGGCACCTATACAAGGGACATGACACCTATACAAGGGACATGACACCAATACAAGGGACATGACACCAATACAAGGGACATGACACCTATACAAGAGGCATGACACCTATACAAGGGACATGACACTAATACAAGGGACATGGCACCTATACAAGGGACATGACACCAATACAAGGGACATGACACCAATACAAGAGGCATGACACCTATACAAGGGACATGACACCTATACAAGGGACATGACACCTATACATTTCCCATGCAAGGAACTTTAGTTTTCTGCACCATCTCCTTGGTGAGCCAGTCATATTATTTTGGCTGGGGCTGGTGTAGTGATTTCTGGCACTGGGGGGGTTGATTATAATGCAGAAGGATATGTTTAGGATTGGGAATATGTTGAGGGGTTAAATTAGGTTTCTTTTTGGGTGAGGGATTAGTGGACAATTCGGTGCTTCTCAATCATTTTCTGATGTAGTTCTAAAGCTTAGGCAGACTGGAGAACTTCCAATGAACCACCATCTCAGTCCAGGAAGTACATGGTGACCCTGGATAATGCCTGAACAAAGATGGTGACGTCCTTCCATAGCAAACAACAGAAGAAGGCATTGGTACTGCGATCTCTGTGAGAGACAATAAATATCTGATTGTCTGATTCTCAGATTAGACAACATTTGTGACCTCATTTGACTTTCATGGACCCATCAAACTGCCAAGATTCATATCACTGGCCATGCCTGAGAAGGGGAAGAAGACGGCGAACCGTCCGTATTTATAGAGCCGAATCCTTTCTAGTTGGCTCCGTGTTTAGTATTTGGTGGCGATAACATCTGAGAAAAGAATTGAATCAAATTTCTTGTATGAAATGAAACAAAACAAGCTGATCCTCGTCCCGTGAACTGTAAACAAGGATTATTGTGGCCGGCGGTAGTCATCCTTCCAGCACCTGATTGCTGCAGACATTTGGCATCTTTGCTGCCTTGGACACTGTGCCTTTTGCTGCAGAATGGAATGTACCGAGGGGGACCGCTCCACTCCTTGGCAATAAACAAGTTCCCAGTAGGATTGGAATTTAAAAGATGTTTGAAAAAAAATGAACTTAAAAAAAAAAATAATAATCCCGTTCTTAATGTGAGCTACCGATCCAGATTCCCAATTCAATTAAAGAGATGGTGACCTCCGGTGACACCTTCTAAATAAAGGAGCGAGCCGTCACATCGGGGTGTCGGAGTTGGTGGAGCTGGCCATGGTGGACTTTGACAGGTCAGAGGGATGATGATACTCCAGGAACCCGAGTCTCAGGCAGGAGGATCCACTAAAAATGATACTTTATTTAAAGGATATGGAAACCCAAGAATCAAATATGTCCTATATTCAGAATAAGTGCAGGGACTCCCCCCTGCCAAGTCACTCCTTGTCTCCGCCCCCTACCCACCTCTGAGCACACCCCTTGGATCCACCCCTAGAAACCTTCCAGTCCCACCCCTTTTAGAGAATACAGAACCAAGTATCATATTTGTATGGAATTTGTTAACGAGGAAAGCAGTAAAATAGATCAGCGCAGCCAGTGACAGCAGATCCCCCCCCAGCAACAATAGACTCCCCCCAACAAAATACCCCCCCAGAAACAATAGGTCTCCCAACAGCCAGCATCTATATAGCCCCTCAGCAACATAAGACCCCCCAGCAACTATAGACCCCCTACAACAATAGATGCCCCCCAGGGACAATAGATTTCCCAGCAGCCAGCATCAACCAATCCCTCCCAGCAACATATGACCCCCCCAGCAACAACAGACCCCCTGCAACAATAGATTCCCCCCAGGGACAATAGATTTCCCAGCAGCCAAGCACCTATATAGCCCCCCCCCTCAGCAACAATAGACCCCCTGCAACAATAGATGCCCCCAGAAACAATAGGTCTCCCAACAGCCAGCATCTATATAGCCCCTCAGCAACATAGAACCCCCCAGCAACAATAGACCCCCTGCAACAATAGATACCCCCCAGCAACAATAGATTTCCCAACAGCCAGCATCAACAGATCCCTCCCAGCAACATATGACCCCCCAGCAAAAACAGACCCCCTGCAACAATAGATGCCCCCCCAGGGACAATAGATTTCCCAGTAGCCAAGCACCTATATAGTCCCCCCAGCAACATAAGACCCCCCTCAGCAACAATAGACCCCCTGCAACAATAGATTCCTCCAGGGACAATAGATTTCCCAGCAGCCAAGCACCTATATACTCCCCCCAGCAACATAAGGCCCCCCAGCAACAACAGACCCCCTGCAACAATAGATTCCCCCAGGGACAATAGATTTCCCAGCAGCCAGCATCTATATAGCCTCCCCCCAGCAACAACAGACCCCCTGCAACAATATATTCCCCCAGGGACAATAGATTTCCCAGCAGCCAGCATCTATATAGCCTCCCCCCAGCAACAATAGACCCCCTGCAACAATAGATTCCCCCCAGAGACAATAGATTTCCCAGCAGCCAGCATCAACAGATCCCTCCCAGCAACATATGACCCCCCAGCAACAATAGACCCCCTGCAACAATAGATGCCCCCCAGGGACAATAGATTTCTCAGCAGCCAGCATCAATAGATCCCTCCCAGCAACAACAGACCCCCCAGCAACAACAGACCCCCTGCACCAATAGATTCCCCCGGAGACAATAGATTTCCCAGCAGCCAGCATCTATATAGCCCCCCCCAGCAACATAAGACCACCCTCAGCAACAATAGATCCACACAGCATCAATATACCCCCTGGAACAATAGCTGCCCCCAGGAACAATCAATCCTCCAGCAGCCATTATCAATAGACCCTCCAGAAAACCCTTGCCATTACATACATTCAGTGCTGGAAGTGCCGGTTCCCCCACATTCCTGCTGACAACAAGCCCTGCCTATATCGCAGCTTACCATCCAGGAATGTGGTGGCTGCATTAGTCTTCATTTTTCAGGCTAAGAACATTCTCATCATGTAAGTGAAGTGTTCTCATCACTTCATAAACAAATGTTCTTCATTCTATAGACTCCCCCCCCCCCATATGGAGAGAGAAAAGAGAAAGATGTTTTTAGCCCATGCTTTTCTCACTCCATAGATACAGTGGAGGAATGAGCGTAGCCCCACCTAGGACAGGAAGTGCGTTTCTGTCAGGATCCACAAGTGAGAAGAAAGAGGAAATAAAGGCTGAAATAGGGACACCAGTGCAGCCATCACATGCAAGCTACACGTGAGGCTGCAACCAAGCATGGGCGTGTTCCCGCATGTCATGTGCCACGCAGACCTTTCATTTCAATGGTCTACCATGCATGAAAAACACAGAAAAGAAGTCCCAGACTCTATAACACGCAGAACTCTATGGTGCTTCCGCTCCATGCAGTTGGGGGTGCAACAAAATATGCGTTTGCAGATCTATGGGGGCGCCATTAACAGATAATGACTCTGTGCATGTTGGGAAAGCACACGCTTGTACGCGTATTAATGGCACTCATCCATGAGGCACCTCAGCTTGGTCTGAGACTGGTGTCCCATTAATAATGGGAGGGCACTAGGTGTGCCCAAGACCCAACGTTGGGTTGAGAGTTCGGTTTAGTCCATTGGCCAGACCTTGCCATCCCACCATATACAGAGGAACTGGAGGATCTCTAATGAAGTCTCAATCAGGTACGACTCCATACACCCACCTTTCTCAACCTTTTATCCCCAGAGGAGCCACTAAAATAATGTTCAGGTCTCAGGGGAACCCCCACTAAAACCAAATCATTGCTGGTCAACGGGGAAAGGTTCCCTTACATCGGTGGTTAGTAGGAAGACCAGTGGTGTATTTCGGTTTTGTGCCCTAGACAACACAAAAAGTGACCCCCCCTAGAAAGAGCCTGACATTGACCAAGAACACTCCTGCCCTCCACCCGAGCCTTCCACTACCTCTGCCCCCCATACACCAGCCACCATCCCCCATCCCCGAGAGAGAGAAAAACACCTTCACAGCTCCGGACATCCCTGGGAACAAGAGTCAGGCTGTGCATACACCATCATGAAACCCACAGCCTCTCTCGGAACCCACCAGGTCCCCATGCTGCATGTGTCCCTTCTTCCATCCCATCTACCAAGGGGCAGTGCTGCCCCTCCTGAAAAATGCCGCCCTAGGCAAATGCCTTATTTGCCTTGTGGTAAATACACCCCTGAGGAAGACTATAAGCCTTAGAGTGGTGGCCAGAATGCCAAATAGCTAAAGAGATAATTGGTGTCATGCTGCTGGCTTTGCCGAGAGGTCTTCGCCCTGGAACTATGCCATCACCATCAGATGGGAGGTCAGTCAGCCACAACTCAAGGAACCCCTGGTGACCTCTGGAGGAACCCTTTAGGTTCTTGTGGCATATGCTGGGAGTCCCACCACGATACCTGCTCTTCTCTTCTACATTTTGGTTAGATTAATATTTTTCCATTTTATAGACTTAACAAATTCTCTGCTTTACGATGTTATGTACATCCAACCCTACCTGAGGTTCAGTACAGACTTTTACAACTGTTTTACCACAGAGGGACCCCTAAAATAATGTTCAGATCTTGGGGGAAACCTTGCTAAACCAGTTCATAGGGGTCAATGGAGAAAATGTCCCTTACATTGGGGGTCAACGGAGAAAATGTCCCTTACATTGGGGGGTCAGTGGGAAGAATGTCCCTTACATTGATGGTCGGTGGGAAGAATGTCCCTTACATTGGGGGTCAGTGGGAAGAATGTCCCTTACATTGGGGGTCAGTGGGAAGAATGTCCCTTACATTGGGGGTCAGTGGGAAGAATGTCCCTTACATTGGGGGTCAGTGGGAAGAATGTCCCTTACATTGGGGGTCAGTGGGAAGAATGTCCCTTACATTGGGGGTCAGTGGGAAGAATGTCCCTTACATTGGAGGTCAGTGGGAAGAATGTCCCTTACATTGGGGGTCAGTGGGAAGAATGTCCCTTACATTGGGGGTCAGTGGGAAGAATGTCCCTTACATTGGTGATCAGTGGGAAGAATGTCCCTTACATTGGGGGTCAGTGGGGAGAATGTCCCTTACATTGGAGGTCAATGGGAAGAATGTCCCTTACATTGGGGGTCAATGGAGAAAATGTCCCTTACATTGGGGGTCAGTGGGAAGAATGTCCCTTACATTGGAGGTCAATGGGAAGAAATGTCCCTTACATTGGGGGTCAATGGGAAGAATGTCCCTTACATTGGAGGTCAATGGGAAGAATGTCCCTTACATTGGAGGTCAATGGGAAGAATGTCCCTTACATTGGGGGTCAGTGGGAAGAATGTCCCTTACATTGGAGGTCAATGGGAAGAATGTCCCTTACATTGGTGATCAGTGGGAAGAATGTCCCTTACATTGGGGATCAGTGAGAAGAATGTCCCTTACATTGGTGGTCGGTAGGAAGAATGTCCCTTACATTGGGGGTCAGTGGGAAGAATGTCCCTTACATTGGTGGTCAGTGGGAAGAATGTCCCTTACATTGGTGGTCGGTAGGAAGAATGCCCCTTACATTGGGGGGTCAGTGGGAAGAATGTTCCTTACATTGGGGGTCAGTGGGAAGAATGTCCCTTACATTGGGGGGTCAGTAGGAAGAATGTCCCTTACATTGGGGGTCAGTGGGAAGAATATCCCTTACATTGGGGGTCAGTGGGAAGAATGTCCCTTACATTGGGGGTCAGTGGGAAGAATGTCCCTTACATTGGAGGTCAGAGGGAAGAATGTCCCTTACATTGGAGGTCAGAGGGAAGAATGTCCCTTACATTGGGTGTCAGTGGGAAGAATGTCCCTTACATTGGGGGTCAGTGGGAAGAATGTCTCTTACATTGGGGGTCAGTGGGAAGAATGTCCCTTACATTGGGGGTCAGTGGGAAGAATGTCCCTTACATTGGGGGTCAGTGGGAAGAATGTCCCTTACATTGGGGGTCAGTGGGAAGAATGTCCCTTACATTGGGGGTCAGTGGGAAGAATGTCCCTTACATTGGGGGTCAGTGGGAAGAATGCACCTTACATTGGTGGTCAGTGGGAAGAATGTCCCTTACATTGGGGGTCAGTGGGAAGAATGCCCCTTACATTGGGGGTCAGTGGGAAGAATGTCCCTTACATTGGGGGTCAGTGGGAAGAATGTCCCTTACATTGGGGGTCAGTGGGAAGAATGTCCCTTACATTGGGGGTCAGTGGGAAGAATGTCCCTTACATTGGGGGTCAGTGGGAAGAATGCCCCTTACATTGGTGGTCAGTGGGAAGAATGTCCCTTACATTGGGGGTCAGTGGGAAGAATGTCCCTTACATTGGGGGTCAGTGGGAAGAATGTCCCTTACATTGGGGGGTCAGTGGGAAGAATGTCCCTTACATTGGGGGTCAGTGGGAAGAATGTCCCTTACATTGGGGGGTCAGTGGAAAGAATGTCCCCTACATTGGTGATCAGTGGGAAGAATGTCCCTTACATTGGTGGTCAGTGGGAAGAATGTCCCTTACATTGGGGATCAGTGGGAAGAATGTCCCTTACATTGGTGGTCAGTGGGAAGAATGTCCCTTACATTGGGGGGTCAGTGGAAAGAATGTCCCCTACATTGGTGATCAGTGGGAAGAATGTCCCTTACATTGGGGATCAGTGGGAAGAATGTCCCTTACATTGGGGGTCAGTGGGAAGAATGTCCCTTACATTGGGGGTCAGTGGGAAGAATGTCCCTTACATTGGTGGTCAGTGGGAAGAATGTCCCTTACATTTGGGGGTCAGTGGGAAGAATGTCCCTTACATTGGTGATCAGTGGGAAGAATGTCCCCTACATTGGTGATCAGTGGGAAGAATGTCCCTTACATTGGTGATCAGTGGGAAGAATGTCCCTTACATTGGGGGTCAGTGGGAAGAATGTCCCTTACATTGGGGGGTCAGTGGAAAGAATGTCCCTTACATTGGGGGTCAGTGGGGAGAATGTCCCTTACATTGGGGGTCAGTGGGAAGAATGTCCCTTACATTGGTGGTCGGTGGGAAGAATATGGAGTCTGGAGGAACCCAGGTTGAGAATGGCTGGTCTATGATGTCCACTCCAGACTCACACATTGATAAAATACATTCGATGTCGGGTCCTATGTTCAGATATCTCCTCATCTTTTTGGATATTTTTGTCTCGCTCATAATGAACTTTCTCCTTAAACAGATCCAGGCATCTTCTGCAGACGTTGTTATTGAGAACCCCCGGTCCAATTACGGGACTTGTGAAAGCGGTCTAAGCCTACAGAAGATTTGGAGCCTGGCACGGTGCGAGGTCAGGCGCTGAAAGTTTTGACCCACGGCTCACTTTGCCCGGCCGCGGAATTTTGATTTGTGATTCCTGGCCTCCGCTCGCTGTTTCCTCTCCCAGAATCCTTTGCTTGGCTTGCGCTTAGTGGCATTCCTCTGTGTCCCGCCCAAGTGTGTGAAATGATATAAGCCGTCTGGAATTAAAAGATTCTGAAAAAAATAGGTTTACGAGGCGACTACTGGAATGCAAAACTGGGAAACAAACGGAAAAATACGCCGCCATTAAATTAGGACTTGTTTTCCTGTACATAGCTTTGTTCTGGAGGAATTGGGTCCAGAAGCTGTGAGACCCAAAATGAAGCCATAAGGAGTCATGGAAACATACAATGGATGATAGAGCTGGAACAACGATCACCACAACCGATCTGTCAGTACATCGTCATAAAAGAGGACATTGAAGAGATCTGAGCTTTGATGACATAGATCACCTCGTTGGTTCGAATCCCAACCATGGCACCACCTGCCTGGAGTTTGCATGTTCTCCCTGTGCCTGTGTGGGTTTCCTCTGGGTACTCAGGTTTCCTCACACACTCCAAAGACATGCTGGCAGGTGAATTGGCTCCTGTCTAAATTGGCCCCTAGTATGTACAGTATGTATGAATGTGAGTTAGGGACCTTAGATTGTACGCTCCTCGGGGGCGGGGACTGATGGGAATGTACAATATATATGTAAAGTGCGGAGTACATTGATGGTGCTATATAAGTACCTGAAATAAAATAATAAAATCACCGAGATAACCTCCAACACTTTCTTCCCTTGGCTGATCTCACTTTATGACTGCTGTAAAGCAGTGTGAAAGTGGTGTCTGCAGGCTGTGGAGCTGGTGGTGCCTGCAGGCTGTGGAGCTGGTGGTGCCTACAGGCTGTGGAGCTGGTGGTGCCTACAGGCTGTGGAGCTGGTGGTGCCTGCAGGCTGTGGAGCTGGTGGAGCCTGCAGGCTGTGGAGATGGTGGTGCCTGCAGGCTGTGGAGCTGGCGGTGCCTGCAGGCTGTGGAGCTGGTGGTGCCTGCAGGCTGTGGAGCTGGTGGAGCCTGCAGGCTGTGGAGCTGGTGGTAACTGCAGGCTGTGGAGCTGGTGGAGCCTGCAGGCTGTGGAGCTGGTGGTGCCTGCAGGCAGTGGAGCTGGTGGTAACTGCAGGCTGTGAAGCTGGTGGAGCCTGCAGGCTGTGGAGCTGGTGGTGCCTGCAGGCTGTGGAGCTGGTGGCAACTGCAGGCTGTGAAGCTGGTGGTGCCTGCAGGCTGTGGAGCTGGTGGTAACTGCAGGCTGTGAAGCTGGTGGTGCCTGCAGGCTGTGGAGCTGGTGGTGCCTGCAGGCTGTGGAGCTGGTAGTGTCTGCAGGCTGTGGAGCTGGTGGTGTCTGCAGGCTGTGGAGCTGGTAGTGCCTGCGGGCTGTGGAGCTGGTGGTGCCTGCAGGCTGTGGAGCTGGTGGTGCCTGCAGGCTGTGGAGCTGTGGAGCCTGGGGCTTAGACTCCGCGCCCTGAGGGACTCCGGTCTGTGGGTGGTGGCTGTCGTCAGTCGGTGCGTGACCCTACCATTAGGCCTGCCCGTCCATTCCACCGCTCCTGCCCTGACACTTCTCCCCAGCAACAGGTATGTTCTACGGGAGAGGCAGAGGTTGGCTGGGTGAGTAATGCTTTGTGTGGGACAATTTGTTTGGGGTCCTGTGTGGGTGCCGGCATTGGGGGACTCGAAGTACAGACTAACTTCAGAGTCCACCCGTCTGGGATTTACTCCTGCATTAGTCTCCTGCCGAAAGGGGAGATATGTGACGGGAGTCACTTTGGGTGGGGGGCCCATGGAACACAGCCCCCTTTGGAGGGGTGGGGAGACCCCTGTCTCAGCTCCCCATATCCCTCTTATGTGTAAGTCACCCTGTGCCTGTTAGGGGTGCAGGGTGAAAATATCCTGCTATTGTGAAGACATGTATAGGTGGGGGGGGGGGTGTTCATTGTTTAATGCCATGTGGTTGTCCCATTGTTCTATTGTGTGTCTTGCTTGAGAGCAAACTATTATGGGATGTATGTGTTTGTATATTGGCTTGGTGGGGGGTGTCTGCTGTGTGTCTCTTGTTACTAAATGTATTGCCCCGCCCTGGGTATATATCTTGTGTCTGTGTTAAAATAAAGCCGTCTATCTCCTGGAATTTCTTTCAAGTCTGGTGTGTCTCGTCTTGTATGGTCAGCGGTGGTGTCCGTGGATCTGTGTTCAGACTGGGAAGCGGGAGTCTAACAAAAATCCCTAGTGCAGTCGGGGTCCGCTTCCGTTACACGCACAATCAAGAAACCTCCAGAAACCAGCGAGGGGCCCCAAGGTTTCCACTGCCTAGGGGCCTCCACAGAGTTTATACCGGCACTGGAGGTGAGGGCCCTTTTGGCACATCATCATGGCCTTTCATCCCATTAGTATCACTGTAGGGTGTTAGGATCGGGGTGGCCCTTTCGGTGGATCATCATGGCCTTTCATCTCATTTGTATGACTGTAGGGTGTTAGGATTTGGGGGGGCCCTTTTGGTGGATCATCATGGCCTTTCATCCCTTTAGTATGACTGTAGGGTGTTAGGATCGGGGGGGGCCCTTTCGGTGGATCATCATGGCCTTTCATCCCTTTAGTATCACTGTAGGGTGTTAGGATTTGGGGGGGCCCTTTTGGTGGATCATCATGGCCTTTCATCCCTTTAGTATGACTGTAGGGTGTTAGGATTCGGGGGGGCCCTTTTGGTGGATCATCATGGCCTTTCATCCCTTTAGTATGACCGTAGGGTGTTAGGATCGAGGTGGCCCTTTCGGTGGATCATCATGGCCTTTCATCCCTTTAGTATGACTGTAGGGTGTTAGGATTCGGGGGGGCCCTTTTGGTGGATCATCATGGCCTTTCATCCCTTTAGTATGACTGTAGGGTGTTAGGCCTTTCATCCCTGTTAGTACATGACTGTAGGGTGTTAGGATCGAGGTGGCCCTTTCGGTGGATCATCATGGCCTTTCATCCCTTTAGTATGACTGTAGGGTGTTAGGATTCGGGGGGGCCCTTTCGGTGGATCATCATGGCCTTTCACCCCATTAGTATGACTGTAGGGTGTTAGGATTCGGGGTGGCCCTTTCGGTGGATCATCATGGCCTTTCATCCCTTTAGTATGACCGTAGGGTGTTA